CAAATGGTAGCCACTTACTTGTAAAGCCCCTCAGAGATCCCTACCAGGGCCAGTATTGTTTAGTGTCTTTACTAAGGGACTGAATGAGCAGAATGAGTGTTCTCTCTGCAAGTTTTCAGATGATGTCAAAGCAGGAAAGCAGTCAATACGCTGGAGAGCACGCTGGAGAAATGGGCTAAAGTGAACCTCATGAAGTTCAACGATGTGAAGCACCAAGCCTTGCCCTGGTGAAAAAGAACACCATGCACAGGACAGGCTGAGGTCTGAAAGGAAAGCAGCTTTGTAGATAAGGCCTGGAGGTCCTGGTGAGTATCAAGTTGAATGGGAGCCAGCAATGCATCTTTGCAGCATTCCAGGCTGCATTAGCAAGAATGACAATGTGGTTATTTCCCTCTCCTCCACAACTGTGAGACCACAGCTGTGGTGCTATATCCATTTTTTGCCTCTGCAGTACAAGAAAGAAGCTGACATTCTGGAACCAGTCTAGTAGAGGGTCACCATGAGGCTGGAGCGTGAGGAAAAGCTGAGAGATGGATATATTCAGCCAAAATGAGAAAAGGTGAGGGGATCTGCTGTCTGCAAATACTGAACAAGACCCTTCTTGTAACTGCATGCTGTAAGGGCAGGAGGCAACAGACATAAGGCAAAACATGGGAAATTTTGACTCAGTGTAAGGAAAATATTTTGTGACTGTGCAACTCTTCCTCTTTCCCCAGCCAATCTGCTGGGAAACCAGTCCCTTCTACTAGGCACCAGCCAGCTGTAATAACACGAACTGTAAAATTTACTTACCAGCTATCTGTATTCAGAAAAAACAATAAAACTTCAGCACTGACCAGACAGTCATGACAAGGGCAAAATTTCTCCCCTGAGCCCTAAAGGGCCACCAGAATGGCATGAAATGTAATTTCTCTCTAATTACAAAGAGGAAGGACAAGAGCTCTTCATCCTACTGTAAAATGGTAGGATGATTTCAGAGGAAGACAGTGGCCTCCTCCAAATCTGTGTACTTTTCCTCCTTGGTGGGCTGGTCCAAAACCTCTATGATTATAGCTACATGTCCAGCCCACTGCAGCCACCAAAGGCTGAGTTCTCGAAGGAGGCAAGGGAAGTGCTTGACAAGACATGAGTTATTATTTTCTACTCTTTGTCCTGATAAAAATTGATGCTGATCTTCAGAGTTCTGTAGCCTTAAAGACAAAGTCAAGAGTCATTAGTAAATTTTTGGTTCCTTCAAGATGGCATTAACTAGATTGGAACTTTCTACCCCCCCCCCAAAAATGCATGCAGGAAACCAAGGTTTTTGTTGGCTAAAAGTTTAAAATCAAAGTGAAAAAATTAGCCAACTTTGTGTTTTCCAGTCTAGGACTAGGATGCATTACAAGTCTTTAGGGAACTGATGCTAGTGGGCAAGGGATTGCTGTGACTACTGCTTACAGCAGTGGGGGTTTGTAGCTTGTGAGAGACCAACAACTAAACAACTAGATGAAATATGTGGACTGTTGCTTACACAGCACCAACATCTTTATAAAAGAAACGTATCTTTTTTAGGCTTTACATCAATTCTGCCACTGACTTCCAAGAATAAATAGTTACTCCCCTGCCTTGCTAACTTATCAGCCTGAGCATCAAGCTGTAGTTTTAACTCATTTAAAAATGTTGATTCCAAAAGTCATATTAGTTTACCAAAACAAATACTAAAAAAGAGATTTAAAAAAGTTATATGTTTGCATTCTGTTTGAGAATATATGCTTCTGAGACTTGCCTCCATTTGGAGGGGGGAAAAAAATATATCTCTCCTGAAGAAATACTCTCCAAAAGCAACCAGATGAGGGCTAGCTAACATATATTCTTACTTGAATTAAAACAGCCATCATGTTTTTAAAAATAATGTGCACAATAAATTAAAGTGAAAATAAAAGACTTATACTCGATATTCTTCATATCATGCTACAAATATCCTGTGAGAGGCTTATACAAGGTTTTTAATTTGAGGGGTGAGGGGAAGGTGGGGAGTAATTCTGTGTAACATTGTAGCTTCTTTTTTGGTTTTTTCTTTACCTGAGATGAATGGGTGAACCTGGCAGCGGTGTAAAGAAATTAACTACATGTTTCCAATTATTACTGTCTCTTAATCAAAGTATGGAATTTTTATAGGTTTCTAATTAAGATCTAGTCAAGAAAAGTAAGGACATAGGAAATGCTAGTACTAAACTTAGCTATTTCAGCAGAGAAATCACTGGACCATTTTGCTGTTGCATCTTGCGGACCACTGGAGCAAGATCATTCAGCAATTACTACCACAGACATTGACTTGATAGGTTTAAGGTGTTAAGCCCTTTAATGCTCAGCTTACAGGGTAAATTTTTTGAGGAAATAGGGAGTAAAAGGAAAGGTTTTCCTTTTGAAGAAATTGTGGATTGATAGCAGGTAGATAGGAATCACTCAGAGCTTTGAGGAGAAAGCAAAGAAAAAATGCAGGGCACTTTTCTGGACCAAGCTGAACCCTCTCAACTGGTACATAATGCATTCCTGAGGGAGATTGCGGAAAGGTTTTATGCTATCTTGTAAAGACAGGTGTACAGAAGTGCCTGGAGGGTTTTTTTTCAGAGCCCAAATAACTTCTCTTATGTACTAAACCGCTGCTTTTGACAAGTTCCAAGTCCTTGAAAATGAAGTGAGAGTGATAAAACACAAGCAGCACATGGTCACGACCCCAGTCACAGCCCCTGCTGCGGTGAGGCTGCAGCACATCGAGTCTCTCTGCCTGCTGCTTCACGCACAGCAGAGAGGAGCCAGAGACGGGTCAGCTTCACAGCTCCAACAGCCTTTGGAAAAACAGCCTGGTAAAAATCACGGCATTCCCATGGTATCCACTGCTTTCCCTGGTTAGAAAGGGCTGTAGTCTATGATTTTAATTAATTCATTAATAGTAAGGAATTAGTCATCTTTTATATTTGAGGCTGCCCTGCAGCCTGCTTGTCATCCTGCACTGCTCCCAAGTAGTTTACCGTGGCTCTTCACTCTCTCCTCGCTTCCCTGGGGAAAGCACAGTGGTGAAGGCAATACTCTGGCATTACCCTAGGCACAGAGAGGAAGTTATGCTTGCTGTGCTTAATGGCTCTTACCAGGGCTGAGATGGACTGTGATTAGATTCACCTTGCACATAGATTGGCTGTGAAAGGATTATTGGGTGCTGAGAAGCCGTTTTCCTCAATTCTTGCCACACCTCTAAACAAATACCATGTAGGATGAGGACTGCTCAACGGTCTATATGTAATGTACTAGCAGACAGTGTGCAAACTTTTTTTAAGTGGCTTGATACAGAGAAAACGCTCCTGTCTCTGTGCCCAGCTGCAACTGCTTTCCCCAGGACTTCTTCAACCTACAGGCTAATGCGGGTGTAGCTACCGGTGACCAGGAGTGGGCATCAGGGGACTGGAATACTGGGAAGGGCTGTGGGAGAGGGAGGGGAACTTGGAGAGGGTGCAAAGGCATGGGACAACAGGCTTGGCTTTTCCTCAAATAGCATACCATCATGGTAGGGGTTGCTCTGTCTGTAGCTGCCTCTAGAGGGCTCATCGCCTTGCCAGAGGGGGAGCAGCCTTTGTTCTCGCCTCTGGAAAACACTTCAGGCGTCGCATTGTTTTTCAGTCTTCCTTTATTTTCATTCAAATCTCCAGTGGCTTGACCTCAAAAGCAGAGGGGCGGTGTGCGAGGGTTCCGTATGTCCTGTACCCTCACTGGGGTACAGAATGCACTGCTCATCAGGGAGACAATGGGGATTTGCTGCCTCTCCACCTCCTGCGCCATCATAGCCCCTTTTCATCCTTCAACTCTCCGTTTAAGGCCTTAAATGCTGCACTCCATTGCACTTAAACCGTGCCGAATATCTGCTCATACCAGCACTGCTGTTACAGAGCTGACATACATACGTGCTGTGGCTCTTTGTCCTTCTCCCTGAGATGGACTGACACAAAAATATAGGAATCCAAAATCAGTGCCACAACCAGGTTTTGCATCTGAACAAAATTTCTGACCAGAAAAAGGGGAAACCCAGACAGAATTTGTACTGATTAATCCCGTGCTTTCTCATGGCTTCATCAGGTAGATGGACCTCTATTTCCAAACACATGCAAAGCTTTGAAAGATGTTAAAGACTAGCTCACTTCTCCAGGATCAGTTGCCAAGTACGTGCAGCACATTTTTGAAGCACCTTTTTTTTTTTTTTTTTGTGGGCAGTAGTTATGCCTGCAAGGAAAATTGTGAATATGCAGTTTTAATGCTGTTAGCACTGTCTAGTCATTCTTCTGACCTTCCCTGTGAACTATATTGTATTTGTCAGTATTAGATTTCATCTGCAGTTGTGTTGCCCATTTTTTTAGCTTTATCCTACTGCAGGATAACCATTCAGGATTGCTTTGCAAAGCAAGCAACTTAAAATCTGAAGCCATTTATTCTGACTAGATATTATAAGCTTCAAAAACCTCTGGAGTTCATCTGCATTAGGTTTAGACTAGTCAAAATGATGAGATATCTCATTTGCTTTACATCACCTCCTTACATGGAGACTTCAGCCTTTATTCTTGCAACTTTTGCCATCTGCCACCAAAGGCAAAGGGTCTTGTTGACAAGGTTAAAATGGGGACAAGCCATCAGTCCCCCAAAAGGCCACATGGTTTAGCAGTCATGCAGGAATCCTCAGCAAATCCAGGCCATGAATGTCAAATCTGTCTGATAGCACAAGGTTGCCAGCAAGTCCTTGCAGGGAACTGACTTTCTCCTTCCATGAGGAGGGATCTCCACCTGTCTTTCATCACAGTGTGTACATCCCTGTCCTTCAGTGATATCACTGGTTGGGCTCATTTTTCTCGCCTTGTTCTCCCCAGGGAATGGAAAGACCTTCTGGCGGGGAACTGTCCCTACGGTAAGGAATGAAGATGAAACCCTGCCTACTGAAGTTCAATCCTCTGGCATAAATCAGTGAACACTGTACACAATGACAGTATAATAAGTCTTTATTGAAGCAAGAGTGTGAGTCAAAGCAACAGGCAAAACACAAACACCAAGCATCAGAAAGGCAACAAACATTTGACTAGGCAGCGCTGTGTGCCAAATGCCCCAGCACACGACAGGAGACTGTCATGTTGTTGATGGTATTTTGTCATAATTATATGCAATTTGCTTACAATGTTGTTCAGCACAGATAAAATAATGATCAGTCTTTACTTGGCTTCTCACTGTGGAGTGATTGTCTCAGTCCTGAAACAGTCCTTTTAATCTGCATTCCTTAGTGCCTCCACATCGAGAGGGCAAATATTTGTATGGACATAAGCAACTGGACCGTATATTTCAGAGGGCACCAGATTGATTTCATGCATTCTGAAAGGACTTATTCTCTGGTGACTGCTCACAATTGCTTTGGTGCCCTTGACCGATATACTCTGTCTTGTGGCTCCATCCTTTGGAAAGCCAATTTGCATGTATATTGCCAATGATTATTCACTTATTTTTATTAGGGAATGTACATAGGACTCTTCTGAAAAGCTCTCCTATAGGTGCTACATGAACATAAATCTTTGTGACAATTCTGCCACACAGGTTTTTCTGGAGCATAAGAGGTGAACAAAATCACTCTCAGCATTTTCAGCTGCTGCATAGCTAAAAGCAAAATGATCCTTTCAGTAAACAGTGCTTTTTGTTTGCACAGAGCTCATAGGCAGACACATCTCTTGAGGGAGAAGAAGGCAACATGATAAAGTCCTCATGAGCTAGAACACCTTCGTCCTCTGGGGCCATTTGGGATCAGTGTAGATATTTATCAGATAATCTGTGTCCTCTGCATCATTTCATCTCAGCATCTGTGGACACCATTGAATTGTCAGATATTTGCTGTGATTTCAGAACAGTGTGTTGACTGTCATTACTTGAAGAGCAAGCTCTAATCAGTCATGCTGAGTTTTCTTGTATAGATTTTAACTAATTAAAAAAAATATACAAAATTGAAAGAACAGGGTTCTTTGGAGAAAAAGGGCCTGTTTTGGCTTCCACACACTATTTCCTAGGACAACTCACTGTAACTGCCTGGCACGAAGAAGGTACAAGGACAACTGAAGTCCTCCTGCTAAAACTCCTCTGCATGCTTTGTTCTCCATCACATCCTGCCCACAGGCTACAAGCAGTGATCGAGCCAGAGCATGGCTTTGTGTCTGTGATTTGAGGTCAGCTGGGACCCTGCAGAGTTTTTGCACCTTTTCAGTGGTGCACAGAGGACCAGAGGTGGGCTTCATCCTTCAGCTGCCCCAGAAGTTGTCTTCCTCTGTGCTGGAAGCCAAATTCAACAGAAAATAAGACAGAGAGCCCTGAACTGAGAAAGTGTAGGCATCCCAGTCTGTGAAACCTGCTTAGCCTGCAGCCCATCAGCAGTCACTAAAGTTAAGTTTTACTCAAGCTAGGTGCTGTAGAATTCATTCCAGTATATGAAACCACCTACCAGTTTGGCTTAGGGTTACCCAAACACGCCAGTGCTTATTCACAGTCACTTCCACTTTGACTTGCTTTAAGATTCAAACATTGTGACCACATCCCACAGCTTTCAATGGATTTGACTGCCCTTAGTCTTCTCACCTGGCTCAGGATGAAGTTTTTAATGAAGTCTTAGCAGAATCCTTGGCCCATCCTGAACTGGCTTATTGTACAGCTGGCTATTTCATGTTAAAATGAATTATACAGCCATGAAGATCATTCATGTGAGCATATTAAATAAAATAATTAAATAAAATAGTCAGATGTTTCCTCTATGTGTTTTTGTTTTTAAAATGAATTGAGCGTTTATCATTCTTTCCCCTTTGAATGATGTCAGATAACAACTGTATAGCTTAAAAGAACTCCAGGTGGCCATGATACTTGTGCTCTGTAATGTTCCCAGTCAGTGGTATGCTTTGAGACTATAACCACCAGCTAAGTTTTCATGGCTCTGTTTCATGATGGAAGACATATGTACAGCAATCTATTTTGTTTCATACTCTTTATCATAAGAATACATGAATCTGTGTATGGACTGAAGTTTCCTATCAATCGATGTGCACTATCTTACCCCTTGCATTTCCACTTCTGGTCCAAAAGCTTGCAATTGTCTACAATACATCCCTTCTTTTTTATTAGCCTAGCAAATCAAGAAGCAGAGAATGGCTTTCACAGAAATAGGACAGTTTACATGACTTCAATATAATGTGAACTGCTTTAATAAAATACTACAGCAGTGATTGTATTCCTTCAGCCTGCATAATTCATTAGATCAGATTTTTAAGACCATATTAAAGTCACCCCTAAAACAGTGTTTTAGCTATTAAAATAGCAAAAAAACTTGTTCAAATCCCATCCTTCCTAGGGCCCCACTTAATAAATTCAATGTTATAGACTAACTAGATAAACCTGATTACTGTGAGTATAAATTCAAAAACCAAGTTAGTTGCCAAATGGAATATAAACCACATTATTGGTACAGTTCATAAAATGGATAGCTTCCAGTAGTATACCAAAATCATCTCCCCCCTTCTGGTGACTGAAATGTTAAAGCAGTAACAGTGAGCATTGGAGAGGTTCATTTCTGTCTCCACATTCATTCAGCATGCTGGAGCTAAGCTTTCTCTAGCAGGCCCAGTTCCGTTCTCCTGATGGAAAGCTTGTGTTTGGTGGAGAGAGGTTACTTCCTTCCACTTGAAAAAGGGGTTTGGGTAATTTCATCTCAGTAACTCAATGACACTAAGTTGGGATAAACACAAATTTACTGATTTTTTATAGAAATGTCTCAGCGTTAAACATATTCTATTGGTACCTAGGGTGACTGCAGCTAAAACTAGTTACACAGAGTTTTAGTGTGTTGATATGTATATACTATATATACAAAAATAAAACACATATGCACACTTTTATCTCTTAGATGCTCCTCTCTCAGAGGTTCAGCTGCCATTTCTGTTGGATAAAAATGCTAGTAAATACTACATAGTAAGGAAACCAATATTCACCTGGAATTCTAGACGCCATCCTAAAGCTTACGGATATGCTATATGCAGAATGCTAGGTAGTGTTCTGCTTACATCTTAGAGGCCGAAGCTTTAATTTTTAATGTTGCAAAAATGCTCCCTATCACTGTGTTCCATATCTTTCAGCATATCAGCATTTCATAAGTGTTGCTAAAACAGTTACCCAAGATGCAGCTGAACATCTGGATCACTCTCTTTTTCCATTAGACTGAGTATCCAACATGGAAGGATTATATGTGCTCATCCCCCAAAATAACTGTTGAGATTGATGCTAAAAGGGGAGTGAAAGTTTCCTAAACACTTCAAACTTTTGTTTTGAATTTGTATAACAGGGCAGAATTTTCAATTGCTTCAGCCAGCGAGGCTGATGCTCCCTCCTAAAAGCTGCTGTGTGGATTGTCTTCAGAGGCCACCACTTTTCTTGCTGCCAAAACAAAGCACGAGCACTAGGACACAATTACTTCCACTTCAGGGAAGAAGTGTTTCACACAAGCTTTCTGCTTAGGACAAGATTAGTAACTGCTATCGTGTAAACCCTACAGTGAGTCAATGATCCAATAATGGTTGGGTCAGAGGATCCAGATGACTTTAAAAAAATGCATGAAATCACTTAGATAAGGAAAAAAAAAGACAGAAAATGGACTGTGTGTATTTGTGTATTTGCACAGGTATACTTACAATAACACCATCATATACAAAAAAGTATGATCAAATGTATTTCACAGCTTCACTCACAGTTTAGCCTTAGCTCTGGATTTGAAAAGGTCTTGGAACCAGGCATTTCTTCTCCCAAAACATAGCTTGCCAAAAATATCTTCCCACTTTCCTGAGTTTTGCCATCCCTGAAAAAAACAACCATGTGTCCAGTGCATACATATGTTGCAAAAGAGTATGAGTACGATACAAACCACTCTCTTCCAAGTGTCAGACCTAAGACATCTCTATTTATGTATACAAAAGCTATCACAGACCACCTGCAAGGTATTTTTTTAGTTTCTGTAAGATTTTTAAATATTATTCAGGACTGACTTGATAAAATGTCTCTTTTCCACTGATTTTTGTTGCAAAGAGAAGCCAGCCATGTCAGAGGCAAAGCATTCTGCATACTGGGAAGACACATTCACATGTTCTGCGTGGTCTGGCCCGCCGGTGCCAGGTGGAGTGGCTTACCCTTAGGAAGAAGACAAAAGTGCAGCAATGAAATCCATCAGGCTGAGGTGGCAGCCACATTTTGAAGATTTTTGTCTTTGTATTTGATTTCCTGACTTTTCAGTACATTGTCTAATAGTAATAACTCTAGTTATTACTAGTGTGTAGTAATACCTGTGTGTAGAATAGTGTGTATTAATAGAATTAATAGTGTGTAGAATACCTGTGGTGCAGGAAAGAACAGGCTTCCTTGCACAGGGAACCTTTTCATAGCACTTTAATATTTCCATCACAAATTATTTGACTCTACACATCAAGATGGTTGACTTAGTCTTGGTAAATAATTTGACCCACAAACATGAATCAATGAAAAATGTCTGGTTTTCTCTGTATACTTTTACTCTGACCTCCTACACATATCAACAGGTGATAAACTATTTTACTCCTGTTTTCTCTTCAACAAATGTCCCTTTGAGCATCATTTTAGCTCTTTCAAAAGAAGTACTTGGAGTAGATACCCAAAAGTAATGTTGTCTATAACTATAAAAGCTTCATTACCTCAGGTTGGATTCACATCAGCATTTCAAAGGGAGTCCCTTTTTCTCTTAAATGTTCTTCCAGTGTATCAACTTTTAAATCACTCTTAAAGGCTGGCTCTAAGTCAACAGCTTCATTTCCCAAATCAAGAAGCAGTATACTTCCTTGTGCTACTGTATGTGGGCAGTTAGCACAGGAAAGCCTTATATTTGAAAGAGTTTAGACAAAAATTCAGCAATAAATTGTCCCTGAATACTAAACATACACACACACACAGACAGAGGAAGAAAGCATTTTGCAAATAATAGGATTGAAAGCAATAAACACTCAAAGAATTGGTGCCCATTTAAACGGACAGATGGAGCTGTTTGGGCCTATCAGGTCAATAATCCACAAACTAAGAAGGATTTATGTGATAGACCATAATGGCTTAAATCCACTTTAAAAAAGAGAGTTACAATAACTTCGAATAACACTCGGTATAGTCAGGCGCCTGATGAGGTAAATGAAGTTGAACCTTCTGGAATTAACACAGTTATTTAAAAATCAAATGTACTGGTGAAAGAATGGGTTTTTTAAATGCCTCTATTCTACTGATCTTCAAACTACCTAAGCTTTAATACCAGATGTCAAAACAGTGAGTCAGAGGTAGGCTGGCAGAGCAGCCTTTCCCCGGGGAGCAGTGCAGGGCCAAACCTCCCTTCTGTTTCCAACTTGAGAAAACCGAAAGTGCAGCCTTGGGATGTAATGGGCAAATGCTTGTTGCACACACTGCTTTTTCTTTCTTCCTTAGTTGACCTCTCAGCAATCCCTAACCTTTCAGAGGCTCTCACCTGCCATGAAGCAGGGTGACCCCAGCCTAAATGATGCTGCCCAGGTGATGATTTCCCAGGAGAAGAGGCTATGGTCTGCACCAGGTCAGAGTGAATTGCCCCTAGCTAGTTTGTTACAGGAACAGGGTGGGTAGGGTTTCTGAACATTTTGCTACTTCTGTTTGCTCATCAGTTTAGCAGCTTGATCCGGGGTTAAGCAAATAAATGTGTGACAGAGATTTCATGTATTCTTTTCTGACCAACTGGGAGCAGAATTTCTTGGGTGCATCATGAAGTTGACTAAATGAGGCAGGTGTTTATTTTATTGCTACAACTGGGAGTGAGTCTACAAACAGTAGCAAATATGACTAAAAGCTCTTTTCCACCTTGCTGGGTAGTTGTCTGTTTCTGTATTGTCTTCTCTTCTACAGATCCTTTTCTATTTGCACATTCTTGACCGTGGCCTGCTTAGCTTTTCCTACTCCATCCCTCAAATTTAGTTTGTTCTCCAAACTACTTTTTTTCCCCTTCTAACTATCCAACATATTTGAAAACTTCTATACTGTAGTTTCTTTTTCTGGCCATGCAACAGCTTGGAAATATTTCATTATGACTGCATCTGTCAATATTGTTACAAGGCAGTAGAACAGCTTTTCACTAGCTGTAGAAGGTATGCCCTTCCAAGTTAACCGGAAGGGTATATTTAATGGTGTTTAAAAGCTAGGATAGGTTTGAGGAATACAAGCGACACCTCCTACAGGGGGGGATTTCCCCTCATGCAGAGTGGTGGGCACATTATCCTGCACCCTTCTGGTCGTACCAACTCATTTCAACTTTCAATCCAGAGAGCAAAGCTCACAGTACTTCTCTTCCTCCTTCTGCTGAGGAAAGTCAGCTTAGTGATGTCTGAGGCACACAGTTACTCTGGATCCCGTTGTGTGTCCCGCTGAAACTGATAAACAAATACAGAATAAACAAAGAAGCCCCAGGGAATGCTGTGAGCTGCTCAGCATATGTGCATGTTGCCCCTTCTCGAGTCAAGAGCTGTTCTGCAGGCAGCCCAGGAAAGCACATGGTTAAACACATTGATCTACAGTTTTCTCTTTGTTGCTTTCAAGAAGTTCAAAAGCCTTACACCCACCAGCAGCAGAAATTTGTGGGAGCTGAACAAAGGAAGGGTGCTAGGAGTTAACTTAACTGCTTGTGGTTGGTTCTGTGTGCTTGTTCCCTTGATGCGTGTATACATGTGTATGTATGAAATATAAGCAGCTTGAAATGTGTTTTTTTTAATTGGAATCTGTTCTTTTTTTAATATATGTATATACAGAGGGAGCCTAGTCTGTTCTGAAATATGTTTGAACTAGAGAAAAATGAAGAACTGGACTTCAATGTGAATTTGATTGCTTGTTCTATTTGTATACAGTAAGGCTGGAGGGGGAATAATGATAATTTAATTGGTCAGGTAAGGATGATATTCCTTTTCTTAATGTTTGTTTTATTGTTTTTTATTCAGTCCTTGTTTCTGTGTCTTTTGATCAAAAAGTAATACCTGCTTAGGAAGACAGGAGAGGAAGAACCTTTCAGGTGTCCAAGAGAACTTATGTTATTTCCAAACACTGAAGCTTGGTAGATATTGCTTTATTATTTTCTCTCTCTGCTGAACAAAAGTTCAGCAACAGCATCTCTGAATGTATAAAACTTCTCCTCAATTTCTAACACACTGTCATTCTTTTTTCCATTAAGCAATAAAGAAAAATCCTATGTAGAAAAGATGAAGAAAATAAAGGTTTGGGGGTGTTTAGCAGTTCAGCATACCTGGCATTTGTAGTTATTCACTGGAGAACCTGAACAGGTATTTAACTTAGTCTCAGAATTAAGAGTATGTTTAAATATTCTTTTAAATTGGGTCAAGGATCACAGCTGAATATGAAGAATGGTGTCATAGTTTTCTGACAGGCATAGGAAAAGAAAGAAGTAATTTTGATTTGAGTCGATGAATATTTAAACAGAGAATCACAGAATTAAGAAAAAGAGTCAGTTGTGGTAAAGAATTGTCTTGATTGCTCTGAAACGAAGTGATGTTTTCCATTTGAGGTTTCTGAATAATTTTAAAATACATTTTGAAAGTCATTTCAGATGGAAAATTGTTTTGTGCTAGAAAAGCAAAACCACAGAATCACAAAATATTCTGAGTTGGAAGGGACCCACAAGGATCATTAAGTCCAACTCTTAAGTGAATGGCCCCTATAATGATCAAACCCACAACCTTGGCACTATTAGCACCATGCTCTAACCAACTGAGCTACTTCAGGGACAAAATAGCATCACTATCAAAAATGTCACTTTTTTGCATGTTTGCCACGCACCTCCAGCCCAATGACAGCTGGTTTTAAGAATAAACAGTTTGGTAAAATTGACCCAAATTCTAAAAAATATTACTGTAACTCTGTATAGAATCTTTCTCATTTGATGTTTTGGACAAAAATTTTGTCCAGCTATGGTCTTAATGCTGCAGAGAACATTAATAACACTTTACCTCTATAACCTACTGCCCTGTGCAATCCTTCAAATGTCAGGGTATATACTGGCTTAGAGAGGTTATCCTCAGCAAATGGATAACTTGTGAGTGAGCAGAGCAGCAAGACAGGCAGTGTCAGTGTCAGCAGTATCAGTCTGTGATGGTGGAGCAAGAAAATGTCTAACTGGAGCTATTTGTCATGTACTAACACGGTGATGAACACAGAAGTCTGGATAAGGCCGAAGGTCAATTTTCTGGTATGTACCAGGGGTCCATGTTCACTGACTGTGGGAGATTGAACATCACTACACGGGCAAAAGTATCTTATGATGAGGTCAGCTAGAAGAAGCAACAGCAGAAATATCAAGAGTTCTCAGGGATAATACTGACCCCATTGAACTGGCTGGGAACTTTGCCATATGATGTACTCCACTGCCTTTCTCTTTGTTAGGGGACCCAGGGTACTTCTGGGTTTGTGTGTCAAAGCGTGCCTCCCAGTTGCATACCAAATAGGAACTTACCTGGGCATGTATTCCATTTTCTTCTTTGCCTCTGTTCACTCCCTTGCCCCGTGCACAGGCTGTTTCACATAGCAGCTCAGCTATGAGGGATCTCAAACCTCATTATATCCTACCAGGTCCCTGTCTGGATGACCAGGAGATTAAAATGTTATGACATACTATAGCAGAATGTCCCCTCTCCAGTGGTTAGAAGTGGATGCAACTGGAGGGACCACGAGTCCCTCCTTCCTGCCCGAGGCATGTTTCCCAGAGAGGTGTATTGGCAAATCTTCG